CCACCACGCCCAGCTTGTGTTTTTGTTTTTTGAGAGTTTTGCTCTTGTTGCCCAGGCTAGAATGCAATGGCACGATCTCGGCTCACTGCAACCTCCACCTCTAGGGTTAAAGTGATTCTACCACCTCAGGCTCCTGAGTAGCTGGGATTACAGGCATGTGTCACCATGCCCAGCTATTTTTTTTTCTTTTGTATTTTTAGTTGAGATGGGGTTTCACCATTTTGGTCAAGCAGGTATCAAACTGCTGAACCTCAAATGATCCACCTGCCTCAGCCTCCCAAAATGTTAGGAATACAGGCATGAGCCACCACTCCCAGGCCAGTAAGTGGAGATGTTGAACAGGAATATGGATATATGGAGTTTAGGAGAGTGGTCTGGGATGGAGATTAAAATATGGGCAGAATTGGCCAACACCTGTAATCCCAGCACTTTGGGAGGCCGAGGCAGGCGGATCACAAGGTCAGGAGATCGAGACCATCCTGGCTAACATAGTGAAACCCCGTCTCTACTAAAAATACAAAAAAAAATTAGCCAGACATGGTGGCGGGCACCTGTAGTCCCGCCTACCTGGGAGGCTAAGGCAGGAGAATGGCATGAACCCGGGAGGCGGAGCTTGCAGTGAGCCGAGATTGCGCCACTGCGCTCCAGCCTGGATGACACAGTGAGACTCTGTCTCAAAAAAAAAAAGGGGCAGAATCTGGCCAGGCATGGTGGCTCACATGCGTAATCCCAGCACTTTTGGAGGCCAAGGCGGGGAGATCACTTGAGGCCACAGGTAATTTTTAATAAAGCTAGATTTAGGGCTGCCATTTTACCTTTTTTTTTGAGACCGAGTCTCGCTCTGTTGCCCAGGCTGGAGGGCAGTGGCGTGATCTCAGTTCACTGCTCTACCTCCTGGGTTCACGCCATTCTCCTGCCTCAGCCTCCCAAGTAGCTGGGACTACAGGCGCCCGCCACCATGCCTGGTTAATTTTTTGTCTAATTTTAGTAGAGACGAGGTTTCACCGTGTTAGCCAGGATGGTCTCCATCTCCTGACCTTGTGATCCACCCACCTCGGCCTCCCAAAGTGACGAGATTACAGGTGTGAGCCACCGCGCCCGGGACTATTTTCTATTTTTCTCTTTTATTTTTTGTTTCTCTGTTTATCCTCTCTTGTCCTTCTTTTGAATTAACTGAAATTTTGGTTAAAATTCTATTTCCAGCCGGGCGGTGGCTCACTGTATCCCACTTTGGGAGGCGAGACGGGGATCAAGTCAGGAGATGAGACATCTGGTGACATGGTAAACCATCTACTTAAAATACAAAAAACTAGCGGGCGAGGTGGGGGCGCCTATGTCCGTACTCGGGAGGTGAGGCAGGGAATGGCGTGAACCGGGAGGTGGGCTTGAGTGGCTGAGATCCGGCACTGCACTCCAGCTGGGCGGCATGCGAGATCTGTTCAACAAAAAAAAAAAAAAAAAAATTCTATTTCCATTTCAATTTGGTTGTTGCTCTTCTTGCTATATGTCATTGTTGAGTTTGTTTTATTTCAGTGGTTGCTCTAGGGATGACAATATACCTTATGAACTTTTCACAGCCTGCTTTATATAAACTGTCAAAATCGGCCAGGCACAGTGGCTCACACCTGTAATCCTAGCACTTTGGGAGGCCAAGGCAGGCAGATCATGAGGTCAAGAGATTGAGACCGTCCTGGCCAACATGGTGAAACCTCGTCTCTACTAAAAATACAAAATTTAGCTGGGCGTGGTGGCGGGCGCCTATAATCCCAGCTATTCGGGAGGCTCAGGCAGGAGAATTACTTGAACCTGGGAGGCGGAGGCTGCAGTGACCTGAGATTGAGCCACTGCACTCCAGCCTGGCAACAGAACAAAACTCCATTTCAAAACAAAAACCAAAAAAAAAACCTGTCAAAATATTGAAACCCTCTTGCTTCATCCTTTATTCTACAGTTAAATTTGCTGCATCTACGTACCTTATAAATCCCAGAGTATATGCTATTATAATTTTTGTTTTAAAGTTAAATGTGGCCAGGCGCAGTGGCTCACATCTGCAATCCCAGCACTTTGGGAGGCCGAAGTGCATGGATTGCCTGAGGTCAGGAGGTCAAGACCAGCCTGGTCAACATGGTGAAACCCCATCTCTGCTAAAAATACAAAAATTAGCTGGGCGTGGTGTGGGTGCATGTAATCCCAGTTACTCGGGAGGCTGAGGCAGGAAAATTACTTGAACCTGGAGGTTTCAGTGAGGCGAGAGGTGCCACTGCACTCCAGCCTGGACAACAAGAGAGAAACTCCACCTCAAGAATAAATAAATAAATAAAAATAAAGTTAACGCTGGGCATGGTGGCTCATGCCTGTAATCCCAGCACTTTGGGAGGCTGAGGTGGGTGGATCATGAGGTCAAGAGATTAAGACCATCCTGGCCAACATGGTGAAACTCTGTCTTTACTAAAAATACAAAAATTAGCTGGGCATAGTCTCACACACCTGCAGTCCTAGCTACTCAGGAGACTGAGGCAGGAGAATCGCTTGAACCCAGGAGGCAGAGGCTGCAGTGAGTCGAGACTGTAACACTGCACTCCAGCCTGGCAACAGAGTGAGACTCTATCTCAAAAATAAAAATAAAAAATATATAAATAAATAAAATAAATAAAGTTAAATGTATTTGGCCAGTTGTGATGGCTCACACCTGTAATCCCAGCACTTTGGGGGGCCAAGAAGGACAGGTCATTTGAGGCCAGGAGTTCAAGACCAGCCTGGCCAACATGGCAAAACTCCGTCTCTACTAAAAATACAAAATGTAGTTGGGCATGGCGGTGCACACCTGTGGTCCAGGGTACTAGGGAGACTGAGGCATGAGAATCACTTGAACCTAGGAGGCAGAGGTTGCAGTGAGCCAAGATCGTGCCACTGCATTCCGGCCTGGGCGACAGAGCAAGGCTCTGTCTGAAACAAAAACAGAAACAAAAACAAAACCCTGCAATGGCTCCCTATGTCACTTGGAATAAAAGCTAAGGCTGGGGGGGGGCCAGCGTACCCAGCACTGGAGGCGAGACGGGGATCACAGCAGGATTGAGACCATCTGCTACCGGTGAACCGTCTACAAAAAACAAAAATAGCGGGGGGGGGCGGTGTGGCTATCGGGGCTGAGGGAGATGGGTAAAACCGGGGCGGGTTGCAGTGAGTGAGACGGCATGCACTCAGCTGGGCACATAGCGAGACTCGTCTCAAAAAAAAAAAAAAAAAAAAAAAAGCTAAGGCCTACCAATGGTCCCAAGAGGTCTCACCAGTTCCCCTCTGACCACACCTTGTACAACTCTCTTCCTCACTGATCCCAGCTGCAGTAGTCTCTGCTGTCCGTTAACTCATCAGATATATTGTCACCTGGAGGTCTTTGCCAGAGTCTATGTACCTAACTTCCTCACCTTCTCCCAAGTGTGATGCCACCTTCTTAATAAGGCTTACCTCCCTCCAAACCTGGCACTCCTGATTAGTTTATCCTGTGTTGACTCTTTTTTTTTTTTTTTTTTGCATTTATGACTTGTTTTTAAACATACTATTTATTATGACTTTTTCACATCTATCTCCCTACTAGAATACACGTTCCACAAGGACAAGGATTTTGTCTCTTCTGTCCACTGCTGTATTTCCCATAACTGACTGACTGAATGCTAAGCACCACAGAGGAGGAGCAGATAAAACCTCTTATAGTAGCAGGAGACACCAGAGGAACAGAGAGGCCAGCCCATTGTTGGGCCTCTGCCTACATCCCTCCAGTACACCCTGTACTTCTCTATCCCTGTTCATTACTTTCTAGCCATGCAGGCCTTCTTGATTCTTGCGTATAGTTAGACCGTCCCATTACAAGGCTTTGCTCTAGCTGTCCACTCAGCCGAGAACACTCACTCTCTCTTCTTTGCCTGGCTGGATCCCTCTTGTCATTCAAGTCTCTACTTAAATGTGGTGTCTTCAGAGCAGCATTCCCTGCCACACAATCTGATATACCTTAGTCACTTCCTTATTTTTTCTTGAGATGGAGTCTCGCTCTGTCACTCAGGCTGGAGCACAGTGGTTCCATCATGGCTCACTGCAGCCTCAACCTCCCATGCTTAAGTCATCCTCCCACCTCAGCCTCCCGAGTAGCTGGAACCACAGGCCTATGCAACCACGTCTAGCTAATTTTTTTATTTTTGTAGAGATGGGGTTTCACCATGTTGCCTAGGCTGGTCTCGAACTCCTTAGCTCAGGTGACTGTGTGGGCCTCTCAAAGTGCTGGAATTACAGGTGTAAGCCACGGTACCCATCCATTACTTTCTTAACACATCATCCTACTTTAACTCTGTATACAGTTTTCATTACTACCTGAAATTTTGTTGGTCAATTTTTATTTTTATTTTTTGACACAGAATCTGGCTCTGTCGCCTAGGCTGGAGTGCAGTGGCATGATCTTGGCTCACTGCAACTTCTGCCTCCCAGGCTCAAGCCATCCTCCCACCTCAGTCTCTTGAGTAGCTGGGACTACAGGCCCGTGCCACCATGCCCAGCTAGTTTTTGTATTTTTTTGTAGAGACAGGGTCTCACTTTGTTGCCCAAGCTGGTCTTGAATTCCTGAACTCAAGCGATCTGCCTTGCTCGGCCTCCCAAATGCTGCCTATGAGATTACAGGTGTGAGCCACTATGCCAGCCTTGTCAGTTCTTTTCCACAGCTGTCCTCATCTGCCCTACGAAATTCTAGACACTTACACATGCTACAAAGTAGCTCCAGAGAGACTTTACTGTCCTATTTGCTGCTGTATCTCCCGCACCTGGAACAGCGCCTCACATGAACAGGTGCTCAATAAATACTTGTTGGGTGGACGGAAGCAGGTGAACTGGGTCCCATGGGTGGGCAGAATTCACTCTGTCTTCCAAAGGGCATCAAGCAGTCCCTGGGGACTTTAAGATGCCAATCTACGGGGAAGAGAAAGCTCCTATGTTTGGGGTGAGAGAGTATGTCTCACCTCTGAATGGTTTCCTCCTGTTCCTTAACCATGTGTGCCAACTGCTGAAAGATGGAGCCCAGCTCAACAATTGTCGACTCAATGTTCTGCATGGTGTCTGCCCGACTCTGGATGTAGGAATCCTTCAGGAGAGGGAGAGAGCACATGAGCACCATCAGCTTCTTCAGGGTCAGACCTGCATCTTTACAGCCCTCCCAGCTTGCCATTCTGCCCATGGCACACTCCAGACACTCTCTTGGGAACCACAGAGGATAATGGAGAAGCTGATTCTCCCTAGTTCAGAGCCTGGGTACCTGCTCGTCAATGAGCTGCAGCTGCTGGCTGGTCCGAGAGTCCATCATGTCGATGGCAACATCCTTGGAGGCATGGGACTCTGCCCCCAAAACCACAGCACCACCCCCTGGGGAGAAAACAGGACGTGGCACATCTTCACAGTTAAAAGCAGGTTCAAAGCCCACATGCTCTGGGTTTGAATCCCAGCTCTGGCACTTACTAGCCTTGTGACCCTGGACAGGTCATTTAACCTCTCTGAGCCTCAGTTTCCTCACCTGTAAAATGGGGGATAATAATAGTTGCTTTCTCAAAGGGTGGTTGTGAAAATTAAATGAGAGAATGTGAATAAAGGTAAGTGTATGAAAAAAATTAGAAATTATCATTCTTCTGAATACAACTGAATTCACCCCAACAGTGAGAATGTGGGAGTCTAAATGTGGATCACGAATCTCAACCATCTGGTTCGGCCTCTGAGAGATAGAGCCTAGAAACTTCCTTGACCCTCCACTCTCCTACCCAACCCGTGCCTTCAGAGGATGCCATCACAACCAGAGTAAGTAACCTTACCTCCCGGGGCTTCCCGTTTTACCTCTGACTTACCCAGGTGGTTAGGGGCAAGGGGCAGGGCTGACACAGGTGCCCGGGAGAACTGCTCTCTCCGGCTCCTCTGCTGCTTCAGGTTCTGGGGTTGGGGAAAAACGCAAAGGACCTGAAGCCACTAGAAAGCAGGCATGTTAAAGAGACTCCCACCATTGGCCCCATGACCCTGTAGAACCTGTACCTTCCCCATTTCCTCTTGGATCTTTACCCCCATATTCCTATCCCTCCTAGGCAAATTGTTCTCACCTCAGTCCTCACTTCTAAAACCGATTTGAAGTCATTGGACATAGAAGCCAGTTTCGACTAGAAGAAAAGGAGAGACGGTCAACCAAACAAGACTCCACATTCTTCCCCTTTGCCTCCTTCCCTTCCTCCCCAGCTCCCACCTGCAAGGAGACCACAATGGTGTTGGAGTGGGTCTGCAGGTGCCGGCCACTCTGGCTGCCCTTGGCCCTCACGAAATCCTGGAGCTGAGCAATTTGTTTGTTGAGGCTATTGATGTCCTGGTAAAAGAGTCCAGGGAAAAACAAAGTATTAGCCAAGGAGTCCTCAGTCAGCATCTCTCTCGATGGCCATCTCTGGTAGGAAGGGCAAGGTGGAAGTTACTAGCTAGAGTGAGAGTATCCCAGACAGTTAGACCAGATGGGCCTGCTAGGATTTTCCAAGGTCTATTGTTTGCTCTGGCTCAGTTCCTGCAGAGAAGAGCTAGAAAGAGGCAAAGTAGGCCTTGATCCATTTGTAAATAACTTGTTTACTCCTCCAGCCTACTGCCCTGCTCCATTCTGTGAGGCCATGCTCTTGGCCACAGAACCCTTTCAAAGGCCAAAATCTTGGGTCTAGAGCATGACCAACAAAGCCCCTGGACAGCACTCAGGAAAAGGGAAGAGTCAAAGGCACTGTAGCTTCAAGAGGCATCAACAGAATTATATTTATACACACAATTCCTCAGTGGCTCACATCTGTAAACCCAGCACTTTGAGAGGCCAAGGCAGACAGATCATGAGGTCAAGAGATTGAGACTATCCTGGCCAACATGGTGAAACCCCATCTCTACTAAAAATACAAAAAATTAGCTGGGTGTGGTGGCGCATGCCTATAGTCCCACAGTCCCAGCTACTTGGGAGGCTGAGGCAAAAGAATCACTTGAACCTGGGAGGTGGAGGTAGCAGTAGGCCTAGATCGCACCACTGCACTCCAGCCTGGCAACAGAGTAAGACACCATCTTTAAAAAAAAAAAAGAAAAGAAAAGTTATTATTGGCCTGGCGCTGGGGCTCACGCCTGTAATCCCACCACTTTGGGAGGCTGAAGTGGGGGGACCACCTGAAGTCAGGAGTTTGAGACCAGCCTGACCAACATGGAGAAACCCCACCTCTACTAAAAATACAAAATTAGCTGGGCACGGTGGCATGTGCCCAGCTATTCAGGAGGCTGAGGCAGTGGAATCACTTGAACCCAGAAGACAGAGGTTGTGGTGAACTGAGATCACACCACTGTGCTCCAGCCTGGGCAACAAGAGTGAAACTCTGTCTCAAAAAATAATAAATAAATAAATAAATAAATAAATAAGTTATTACAGTTGAGTGCAGTGGCTCACACCTGTAATCCCAGCACTCTGGGAAGCCGAAGTGGGCGGCTCACTTGAGGTCAGGAGTTTGAGACCAGTCTGGCCAACATGGTGAAACCCCTTCTCTACTAAAGAGAAAACAATTAGCCAGGCATTGGTGGCAGGTGGCTGTAGTCCCAGGTATGGGGGAGGCTGAGGCAGGAGAATAGCCTGAACCTGGGAGGTGGAGGTTACAGTGAGCCAAGATCACACCACTGCACTCCCACCTGGTCAAAAGAGCAAAACTCTGTCTCAAAAAAAAAAAAAAAATTATCCAGGTATGAGGGCACGTCCCTATAGTCTCAACCGCTCAGGAGGCTCAGGCTGGAGGATAGCTTGAGCCCAGGAGTTAACAGCTATAGTGAGCTAGGATCACACCACAACACTCCAGTCTGGTCAACACAGTGAGACCCCCTCTCTAAAAAAAGAAACTTGCTCTGGGTCCCCATGGCAATGGAAAATGACAGGAAGACAGAAGTGATCTGATTGGAATGCTGGGCTCTCCTGATGGCTAGTAGCTCACCTGTTTGATGATATATGTTAGTTCTTCAATTTCCACTGCTTTATCATCAAAGAGGGACTTGCGCTTTGCCACTACAGAGACAAACAAGAAGCCACAATGGGTGAGGTCAACGACAAAACTCAGGGAATATAGCCCTCAGTCCTCTTTGATTTACTGCCCCACTTCTGAAAGACCCCAAAAACACTCACAGATTGTCAGCTTCTCCAGCTTGGCAAATGTGTTGCTAAGGTCTTTCCCAATGCGCCTGCAAATGACCACTAGTGAGACTGTGGGAAAGGGCAGGAGGCCTTTTCCCACATAAGGTCCAGCACAACCAACCCCAGACTTCACAGCCAAGGCCACTGATCGCAAGTCTACTTTTCTTCAGACATTGTAGCACCCCACCAGAAAGCTTCTCTCAACTCACTTGGCCATGAGGGTGAATTCACTGCGTTGTCGGACAGCACGCAAAGCTGGCTTATTTGTCTGGATTCCATTCTGAAAAGCAATGGCAGGAAGTGACAACTTTAGTTCTCCCTTCCCCAGTTCCAGCTTTCACTCTTCCTGAGGAGTCCACTAAACTATCTCTAGCACTAGTGGCATCCATCAGATGATCCAGACTTATGAGTGGAAGTCATTTAGAGTCCAGATTTGAAGACAAGTAGATCTGAGTTCAAATCTTGACTTACCACTTACTAGCTGGGGGATTTGGGGCAAGTTACTTAAAACATTCTGAATCTCTATTTCCTCTTCTATAAGACGAAGACAATACACACATCTCCCATTGTTGTTGCTAAGGTTAAATAACAAAAAGGCTGAAAAGTACTTCAGTCAACTACCTGGTACATAGTAAGCACTAAATAAATGGTAGCTAGTATTGCCATTCTATTCCTCAAATCAGGAAATCAATAAGGATGACTGCAAAGTTCTTGGAGATCATATAGAAAAGCAGCTTTACCATGAGCTGAAAAACACATTTTTATAACTTTACTATTTTTGAGACAGGGTCTCACTCTGTCTCCCAGGTTGGAATATAGTAGCATGATCGTAACTTACTGCGGCCTCGACATCCTGGGCTCAAGCGATCCTCCCACATCAGCCTCCCAAGTAGCTGGGACTACAGGGCACGCCACCGCACCTAGCTAATTTTTAACTTTTGTAGAGATAGGGTCTTGCTATATTGCCCAGGCTGGTCTTGAACTCCTGGGCTCGCACAATCCTCCCACCTCAGCCTCCCAAGTACTGGGATTACAGGTGTGAGCCAGCATGCCCACCCATCAGTAAAAATATTTAAAAATACAGTTACTCAGCCAGGCGCGGTGGCTCACGCCTGTAATCCTAGCACTTTGGGAGGCTGAGGCAGCAGATCACGAGGTCAAGAGATCGAGATCAACCTGGCTAACATGGTGAAACTCCGTCTCTACTAAAAATACAAAAAATTAGGCAGGTGTGGTGGCATGCACCTGTAGTGCCAGCTACTCAGGAGGCAAAGGCAGGAGAATCGCTTCAACCTGGAGGCTGCAGTGAGCTGAGATCCCACCACTGCACTCCAGCCTGGGTGACAGAGCGAGACTCCGTTTCAAAATAAATAAATAAATACAGTTACTTGGCCGGGTGCAGTGGCTCACGCCTGTAATCCCAGCATTTTGGGAGGCCGAGGCAAGCAGATCACAAGATCAAGAGACGGAGACCATCCTGGCGAACATGGTGAAACCCTGTCTCTACTAAAAATACAAAAACTAGCTGGGTGTGGTGGCGCACGCCTGTAGTCCCAGCTAATCGGGAGGCTGAGGCAGGAGAATCGCTTGAACGCGGAGGCGGAGGCTGAAGTGAACCCAGATCATGTCACTGCACTCCAGCCTGGCAACAAAACGAGACTCCGTCTCAAAAACAAATGAACAAACAAACAAAAAAATACTTACTCAGGTGCTTGTAACCCCAGCACTTTGGGAGGCTGAGGCGGGCAGATCACTTGAGGTCGAGAATTTGAGACTAGCCTAACCAACATGGAGAAACCCCGTCTCTACTAAAAATACAAAATTAGCCGGGCATGGTGTCACATGTTTGTAATCCCAGCTACTTGGGAGGCTGAGGCAGGAGAAACACTTGAACCCAGGAGGCGGAGGTTGCAGTGAGCTGAGATCACGCCATTGCACTTCAGCCTGGGCGACAAGAGTGAAACTCCCATCTCAAAAATAATTAATTGGCCGGGCGCGGTGGCTCAAGCCTGTAATCCCAGCACTTTGGGAGGCCGAGACGGGCGGATCACGAGGTCAGGAGATCAAGACCATCCTGGCTAACACGGTGAAACCCCGTCTCTACTAAAAAATACAAAAAAACTAGCCGAGCGAGGTGGCAGGCGCCTGTAGTCCCAGCTACTCGGGAGGCTGAGGCAGGAGAATGGTGTAAACTCGGGCGGCGGAGCTTGCAGTGAGCTGAGATCCGGCCACTGCACTCCAGCTTGGGCGACAGAGCGAGACTCCGTCTCAAAAAAAAAAAAAAAATTAATTAATTAAATAAATAAATAATTAGAAAGCACTCCCAATTTTTTTTTTAAGAGGAGCTGAGTGCAGTGGCTGACACCTGTAATCCCAGCACTTTGAGAAGATGAAGAAGGTGGATCACTTGAGCACAGAAGTTCGAGACCAGTCTGGGCAACATGGTAAAACCCCGTCTCTACTAACAAAACAAAAATTAGGCAGACATGGTAGCACATGCCTACAATCTCAGCTACTGAGAAGCTGGAGGCAGGAGGGCTGCTTGAGCCCAGGAGGGCAGATGTTGCAGTGAGCCGAGATAGAACCACTGCACTCCAGCTTTGGTGACAGAGTGAGACCCTGTTTCCAAAAAAGGAGAGAGAGGCTGGGCGCAGTGGCTTATGCCTGTAATCCCAGCACTTTGGGAGGCTGAGGAAGGCAGATCACCTGAGGTCAAGAGTTCAAGATCGGCCCCACCAACATGGTGAAACCCCATCTCTACTAAAAAAAAAATACAAAAATTAGCCGGGCACGGTGACGGGCACCTGTAATCCCAGCTACTCCAGAAGCTGAGGCAGGAGAATCGCTTGAACCCGGGAAGAGAAGGTTGCAGTGAGCTGAGATTGCACCACTGCACTCCAGTCTAGGCGACAAGAGTGAAATTCCTTCTTAAAATAAAAAAAAAAAAAAGAGAAAGAGACTGGGCCTCGCTCAGCCTTCTAAGTAGGTGGGACTACAGGCACATGCTACCACGTCCAGCTTTTTTTTTCTTTTCTTGTAGAGACAGGGTCTTTCTTCATTGCCCCTGCTGGTCTCTAACTCCTGGCCTCAAGCGATCCTGTGGCCTAGGCCTCCCAAAGTGCTGGAATTACAGGTACGAGCCACCACATCCAACCCTAAGTTATTTTGATACAAATTACTGGTCTAGGGCCAGGTGTTTGTGTCCAGACCAACCTGGGCAACATAGTGAGACACTGCCTGTACGAAAAAAATTTTAAAATTAGCTGGGTGGTGCATCCATGTAGTCCCAGCTGCTCAGGTGGCTGTGGAAAGAGGATCCCTTGAGTCTAAGAGTTCAAGACTGCAGTGAGCTATCATCACGCCACTACACTCCAGCCTGTTGACAGAGTTGAAAACAGATCTCAAAACAAAACAAAAACAACAAATTACTGATCTAGAAAATGTCCTTAATGTTACAGAGATAAAAACTAAGATGTAACTAGATTAATTTTCTCATGGTTACAGAGCAAATTTATGGTAGAAATATATTGGAAAATTCAAGGTGCGTGTTTCTCAGCTAAAGGCTCTTCCTAGAACTTGTTCCTTATTCACACCAATTATATTACAGCCAAGTACTCTCTGAAGTACTCCCTCCAGAATAGCACTCCTGCCCTCCAAGGGATTCCTCCTAAAAAAAGGTCTAAGTCCTTGCCTCTAGTTAGCCAGCCGACCTCTTCTCTGTTGCTTACAGCAGACCCTACTGGCCCCATCCAAGCCTATCAGTTCCATCAGGTACCCCCAAGAATTACTTCAGTTAACAGTGGTGGAGCACAGTCCTTCCTAGATTTGAGTATGGCTCACTCCTCGCCTTTTCCACTCCAGGTCCTTACCTGACGGGTCTGCAGCGACTTGCAGGCAGACAGAAACTCCTGGGTCCGATCCCGGCAGGACATGGTGTCGGGAGGGGGAGGGACGAGGGCCACTGGGGGGGGCAGAGGGGCGATGTCGCTGCTGCTACTGCCAGCAGGTGCAGGGGACAGGACCTGTGTCTTTGAGAGACCCAGGTAGACACCCTGATCCGTGTTCTTAGACCCGTAGCGTTTCCGCGGGATCATTGAGACGCATAACCTCGGACTGTTGTGGAGGGGAGAGTGTCATTCCCCAGGCAGCTTCTTTCCCCAAACTCCCCCGCCCCACCCCAATCAACAAATCCTCGAGCCCCTTCCGCACTTCTCATGGACTTTCGCGCCCAAGACGCTCGCAGATCCTGGGGCGGGCCAGCAGCGGAAAGGGCTCTGCTTTTCCCCTGTCCCAAGTCGAACCCGCTTCAGACTCTTCTTCCAACTTGGCTCCGGCGGCCAGAGCGCGGGCCGGGGGCCCTGAAGCATAGACAGGGCCAGAGCCAAGTCCCGTGGCCCTCAGACTGCGGCCTGGCCCGTGTAACTGCCCCGGGCCCTAACCCAGTCCCTTCGTTTCCGTGGTTTCCTTCGGCCCCTCGGGGGGGGGCCGGTGACGGACCTCCAAAGACTGACACACTTCGGTGGGCGGAGGGGGAAACCTCTGGGTGTTTATTTGAAACAGGAAGTCCCACCCCCCGCCCAAGGTCCGCCTTCTGGAAGACTTCAACCACTCATTAGCTAATGCCGACGTCTCTCTCAACAGAGGCTTTCCTGATTGGACGGCAAGGAATTCGCTCACCAGGAGCCGGGCCGGCAGGACTTGCCTGCTTGCCCCTGGTTCCCTTCCCCCTGCCAGTCGTCGCCCCTGTAAAACCACTGCCCCAGAGCTGACACGGTGGCCAGACCCCCTCTTAGAGCAAGTCTTACCTCCCCTCTGCTGCCTGTCGCCGCCGCCACTACCAATCTCCCCGGCCGTCACTGCCTCCTCCCTGGGCACTGAGGCCGCCGAAACCCGACCAGACTGGAAGCGGCCACGTCACCTACACGTAACCCCACCCCCGGTGACGAGGGGGCGGTCCCACGCATTTTCAAGCCAGGCGACCCGAAAGACACGCCCCACATCCAAACGCAAGAGCGACCCCCCTCCCATTGGCTAAGGCGCTGCCGTGACCCCGCCCCTGAGTACTACAGCGGGAGCCCAGGGGGCTGGGCCCGCCTCCGGGGAGGAGCCTTAAAGAACCAGCTGCCCGGCGGTGTCCGCGCCCGTTTCCCAGAGTGGTGGTGCAGGTACACGTTAGAAATTTTATTCTCTGGAGGTTGGGGCGGACTAAGAGCAGGTCTGGGGTCATCCCTTCTCCGGCTCCTCCTGGTTGCCTTCTCGGATCGGACGCTCCTGTTTCCGAGTCTGATCTGATTGCCTCTTGCTTGACGGCAAGGAGTCCCGACCACTGAACATTGATGACCTAATCTGGTCTGATTGTCTCTTGCTTGACCGCGAGGAGCCCCGACGACTGAACATGGATAGTCGCCGCCACAGCACGGTGATCAGAAGGCTTTCGTTCGACTTATGATTCCGATGGTCCGGGGAGTTCAAGTCGATACCTTCGGCGCCTGAGGCGACGAGGCCTCTGAGCTCACCCCTACCCTCGGGAAGCCCCTTCTCACACTCCCTGGGCCCTCTGTGTGTGCCTCTGGTCCCATCTTCCCTGACGGCCTCAGACTCTGCCTCCTTGGACTGCTCATCCGACATCTCAAAGTCCTTGTCTTGGCAGCAGCCCATGGCCCCGCGGGGCCCCGGACTCCCTGCCACCCACGCCAGCCTACCTGCCTCCAGGCCCGGCTTTTGTGACATCAGATATCCCGTCGCCCCAGCTCAGGGAGCCCCCACCCCAAGCTACCCCTCATTCCTTTCTCCCATCACAAAAGGCTCAGGGTCATGGTGGATGTTCAGCTGTTTATTTACAAAGTGGGCAGGCACAGGGGCGTCAGGGGCTGGTGGACCCAGGCCGCTTCTTCTTTCTCCGTCTGGTTTGGAGAGCTCCTTGGGTCTGCTCCAAATCCGAGAGCTTCCGCTTGGCAGCTGCCTCCAAGGATGCCCAAAGTTCGTCTGTCTCTGTGTCTTCTAGGGGCACCTTGTTGGGTTCTTGAGGCTCTTGGGGCTCATCCTGGTGAGTGGGAAGAAAGTGTAGGAGTCAGGGGGACTGGGCATGGTAGCTCCCACCTGTAATCTCAGCACTTTGGGAGACCAAGGCAGGAGGATTGCTTGAGCCCAGGACTTAGCGACCAGACTGGGCAACATAGGAGACCCCATCTCCACAAAAAGAAGTTAAAAAAAAAAGAAAAAGTAGTCAGGGGCACAGGGACAAACCCACAGGGAAGGAGACCCTGGCTGAGAAATAATCCCTCTGGGTATCACCACCTTTATTCCCTGCTCCCAGAAAGCAACCCCATCCATGCTCTTGGCAATAACCCTCAGGATTTTAACTGTTAATGCCTCTCAGAGAAATTAAGTGACCAGGCAGGTAAACAGATAGTCCCAGGTCTGCATTCCAGCTGCCTCCTTTTCCTCTTCATAGGGAGATCCTCACATCTATGCCCTTAGCTCCCACATTCCCAGACCCAACTGCTCACCTCCCAGTTGTCCCTGCCTGACAGGAGGAGGCAGTTCAATTGAGACTTGAGATAAACCTGCAAAAGATGAAGGACCTTAAGGAGCTAGGCATGCTGAGACAGAAACATGAAAGGGGACAAAGGAGGCGGAGCCTCCACAAGACCATGAGTTTGGGGTGGGAGAGACGACTTACCTTATGCTCCAGACCCCGTGGATTCTGGATCCTGTGTATCCTCAAGACTCTGTCCAAGCCACAGGAAGCTAGTAGAGGCTTTGAAGGGTGGCACTGCAACCCACGGACACTGCCTGCCAGCCCCTTCAGACAGCCCAGTAGACGCCCTAGAGAAGGGGGGAAGCATCCGTGATAACTGGCTGGCCAATAACCAACCATTCATTGTTTCCTGTTCCAATCACTTTCCATTTCAACATTTAATCTGCAACAAAACCCTGAGACTGGAGCTTCTACTAATATTTCCATTTCGCAGGTGAGGAAATTACGGCACAGGGAGTTGAAATAGTTTAAGGTCATACAGCTTTTGAGGAAACCAGGATTTGAACCCAGGCAATCTGGCACCTGAATGAGGCCTCACTGGCCCCACTGCACCGCCTTAGAGGGAATCCTTACCCTTCTCCCTGCTCCTTCCTTTCCCCCCAACATACCCTAGTCCACTCACCTTGCCGAAGGTCAATTTCTGCCAGCTGCCCATGAGTGTTTCCCACAATCACTGAGCTGAGGATGAGACCAGAGGCAAGCGGAGTCAGCAGGAACCTCCTGGAGCCCTTCCCAAGCCCCACCCTCCCACCCGTTCCCCTCTAAACACTCACTTGCCTCCCGGAGTGAGGGTCATGGCTGTCAGTGGGTACTCTCCATAGGTGGTCTCTAGGACTGGCCGGCGCTGGGGGGATGCTGGATCATAGACACGAACCTAGAGGAAGGCTGAAGCATCACGAAAGTATCCTCACCCTGCACCTACCCTCTGGCATCTCTGCATCCTCACCCGCTCCCTGCACACTGCTCTCTTATTTATGATCCACTGTCAGAAACTTTCTCATCTTAGATGTATGCCTCTTCTCTGAGCATCAGGGTGTCAGAAGAGCTGCTTAGCAGCATAAATGGACAGAGCTGAGGGGAGAGGTCCCCTAGGTTGGAAGTGTGTGAGCATTCCATCCTCCCATACTCCCATCTAGGGGAAATGGAGGGATGGAAAAGCAAGTCAGTCTAGTAGTCAGTGGGTGCTAAATTTCAAGCAGAGGTTAGCCTGAATGAAGGAGGAAAGAGGATGCCCTCATATGTGTTTTGAGCAAAGGCGTATGACCAAGATCAGACTTCAATGTGCAGAAAGCAAAGAAAACAGGACAAATACAGTGATCCAGCCCTACCCGTGTCTCAAGACCTCAAATGAGACAGCCATAAAGATTTCTCATTTGGGGCCTTCATGTAAAGCTGAGGAGCTGAGGCCAGAGATGGGAGGCTCAGGCCTCAGTCCCAAAGCAAATCAGAGAGGCTGCATCAGGACCAGAACCCAGTTCTCTTAACCCCTAGCCCAATGTCCTCTGACACCTGCACCCTATAATTCCCACAGTGAAGGGGATCCACTGTCCTTTCCTCTCTTCCAGGTGGGAGGAAAACAGCACAGTTCAGGAAACTCCACCCTAGAATGCAGCAGAGGACAGTCATGGGCTCAGGGACAGGGTTGGAACGGATGGGGACGCGCTTGCTCCTTTGAGCTCAGAATGGTGAGAAAGGCAGTTGTGCCAAACCGTGGGGGCCATTTCTTCAGAAGGCTGCTTTATCCCAGGAGAAGGTAGGGGTGAGATGACACCTTACCTGGTGGTACCCTGTGCAGGTGACAAGCTTCTGTGATCCTGGGAGAAACTGTATGTCCTGGTCCCAGATGGGAACCCGCAGGTCCAGCCAGTCATTCCGCACCTGGTGGGGTGGGCAGATGGGGAACAGGGCTGTGGGGGGCTTGATGTGCTCCTCCTTTCAGCCCTCCTTCGCCCCCTAAAGCCCATCTAGTCTCTGACACATAGTCAGTGGCCATAGCCTCCCTCAACTTCAGGAACAGCTCCTTCACACTCTTGTCACTCACGTTCTTGGCCCTGAACACAGGTTCCTCAGAGCCCTGCAGGTCCCACATCTTCAAAGCATTCTCTTTCCCACCTGTGGCAACCACATGGGGGTGTGCTGGGTCTTGGCGCATCCTACACACCCCAGGGCCCACTCTCAGTTCCAGGAGCTAAAAAGAATGGGAGATAAGAGTTTGTTCCAGAGTTCTTAATCCTCCCTTCCCCAACACGATCATTAGGCACCTACCCCAGCCCTCCTCCCCCAACCATCAGGGCAGGGAAGCCTCACTGGGTCAGAGGATGTGTTCTTGTCATTGTCGTGCCAGACTCTGAGAATCCCAGAATCCACACATGTGATGAGGGTGCTGCAGAGAAAGGACAGAGTTGGGATGTTTTAAGTGCTTAAACTCCTTGTTCTAATCTTTCTCTCCTTCTCACTACTAGACTTGACAATGTTTAAAAACAAACAAACAAAAAAGTACAAAAGTATTCCTAGGCCCCAAACTCATATCAACCCGATTCCCTACTAACAGTCCAGTTTAGAAGAAAGCCTCTAGGTCACTAGGCTCTAGGCAGAGCCTGACAGCTTCCAGCTTCCTAATCTGTTAATTCAACTTATTCAACAGGGTGAGAGTTTACCAAGTGAGGAAACAGAAGTGCTGAGAAGCTAATCTGCCACTCAGCTATGTTACAACCACAGCTGGAAATCCACTCTGTAATATTCCGGAGTGCTTTTGCTGTTCACAGCTGTGTCTAGCGCCTGGCCGTACTGGTCTACCTGGCCGTGCTGGTCTATCTGAATCTTGAGTTGCCTACTAGGGCTCAGGATCAGCAGTTCTAAAAGGATTGAAATGGGACTGGTCTGAATTTAGGGTTTGGTCAAAGTCAAACACCAGCTTCTTATGTTCCTTGCTCTGGGTTTCAGGCACTAAATGTCAGTCTCTTGCTTAAAGTATCTCAAGAAGTCCAAGCAAGTCTCTCCCCAGGATCTGCACAGCCTGCGCCTATGTTCTTTCTCATGCCTGCCAACCCTCCCCAGCTGCGTTCAGGCTCTGTTTCGACTTGCCTGAGCTGTGACAAAAGTCTCCCGGTTGCTGTCTCCAATCTATCCTCCATACTCCTACAGGTTCCCAGTGCTGACTATGGTACTTCTTTTTTTTTTTTTCCCCCCAAATCAACAGGTCTTTTATTGCATCATTAAAATATCACAAGTAGGTCTTAGGAGTCATCTGGCATCTTCTTTCTGTAGCTGAATAACTCTTAGATCTTATTTATCAGCCTGCTGAACAGTTCCTTTTTCAGAGACATAGATACCATCCAAAAATTTCCTGATATCCTTGTTTTTAACTGTTGTGGCTTGCTGAATCAAAGCCGCTGAATTTGAAACAAGTTCAATGTCATTTCCTTCAAGGATTAATTCATCTTTCTGGGCTTGAGATACTGAACAAGCAACCCCTGGTCTCATCCGAACCCTGCGGATGTATTTTTCACCCAAGAAATTTCGGATTTCAACAAGAGACGCATTCTCCTGGATAATGACGTTGATGGGGAAGTGAGCATATACAGACCTCATCTTGTAACGGAAACCCAGTGTAACACCCTTGATCATGTTCTGTACATGACTACAAATAGTCCGAACGGTAGCCAGTTCCTTTCTGTTACCCCACCATTTGTCAACCCGAAGCCTCTTTTTTTTCTTTCCAAGAAGACTGAGTTCTACATTGATGTGATTGAAGTCCCTCCGCAGGGTTCCTCTGGGGCCCTTCACGATAACTGTGCGTCCCTTCAGAGTAATGTCAACATTTTCTGGAATGTTGACAGTCTGATTGCTGAGAATCGTCTTCATTCTTGCAGTAGACGCAGCAAAGAAAGCGACTATGGTACTTCCTATTCAAAAACTGGTAACTCGGCCAGGCACAGTGGCTTGCGCCTGTAATCCCAGCACTTTGGGAGGCTGAGGCAGGCAGATCACCTGAGGTCAGGAGTTCCAGACCAGCCTGGCCAACATATAGTGAAACTCTGTCTCTACTAAAAAATACAAAAATTAGCTGGGTGTGGTGGCACATGCCTGTAGTCCTAGCTACTTGGGAAGCTGAGGCAGGAGAGTCGCTTGAACAAGGCAGGTGGAGGTTGCAGTGAGCCGGGATTATGCCACTGCACTTCAGCCTCAGACACAGAGCAAGATTCCGTCTCTCAGAAAAACAAAAACAAAAAATGAATAACTCGCCAACACCAATAAACGTGCACATCTCTCAACCTAGCACTTAAAGCCCTTTACATTTAATCCCAACCTAATATAGTGTCCATCTTGTATTAAAATGCTTTCTTGGTTGGGTGCAGTGGCTTACACCTGTAATCCCAGCATTTTGGGAAGCTAAGGTGAGCGGATCGCTTGAGGTCAGGAGATGCAGACCAGCCTGGCCAACATGGTGAAACCCTGTCTCTAATAAAAATATAAAAAAAAAAAAAAACTTAGCCGGGCGTGGTGGCGGATGCCTGTAATCCCAGCTACTTGGGAGGCTGAGGCAGGAGAATCGCTTGAGCCTGGGAGTTGGAGGTTGCAGTAAGCCGAGACCCTGCCACTGCACTCCAGCCTGGGTAACAGGGTGAGACTCTGCATTTAAAAAAAAAAAAAAAAAAAGCTTCCTTGTTGTCAACTTCCAAATCAAATGCTATTTATCCTATTTATGTACCCTATAGCATGCCCCCAGTCCTTGGCCTCTCCCAGGCAGTACCCTCTTTCTAGAATACCCTTATCCCCTTCTCCACCAGTCAAAATTCTACCCATCCCTCAAGACCCAGTTCAAACATCCAGTCCCCACCAGAGGCTTTCCAGACCTCACCTGTCAGAATTACCACTACCAAACCTATGCAGCCTGCTTCACAGCCCTCTTTCATCGTCTTTGGAAGAAAGCAGGGCCAGTAATCCAACCACTTAGCACCTTCCTAATCTTTGCTTTCAGAGGTACATTCACCTTGTTGGTTGAGCTCAAGTTGAGCCCAGGAGTTTGAGACTGGCCCGGGCACACAGTGAGACCCTATCTCTACAAAAAACTTAAAAATTTAGCTGGGCGGGGTGGCACCTGCCTGTGGTCCCAGGTACTCAGGAGGCTGAGGCGGGAGGATTGTTCCACCTCGGAAGGCTGAGGCTGTAATGAGCCATGAATGCACCACCGCACTCAAGCCTAGGTGACACTGAGGCTCTGTCTCAAAATATATAAATGAAGTAATGAATGAATGCTTAAAACCTTTTTTTTTTTTTTTTTTTTTTTGAGATGGAGTCTCGCTCTGTCTCCCAGGCTGGAGTGCAGTGGTGCGATCTCTGGGTCACTGCAAGCTCCGCCTCCCGGGTTCACACCATTCTCCTGCCTCAGCCTCCTGAGGAGCTGGGACTACAGGCGCCCACCACCCCACCTGGCTAATTTTTTGTATTTTTAGTAGAGACGGGGTTTCACCGTGGTCTCGATCTCATGACTTCGTGATCCGCCTGCCTAAGCCTCCCAAAGTGCTGGGATTACAGGCGTAAGCCACCGCGCTTGGCTCCTTTTTTTTTTTTTTGAGATGAAGTATTGCTCTCTTCCCCAGCCTGGAGTGCATTGGTGCGATCTCTGCTCACTGCAACCTCTGAGGGACGGATTCAAGCGATTCTCCAGTCTCAACCTCCCAAGTAGCTGGGATTACAGGCATGCGCCACCACACCTGGCTAATTTTTGTATTTTTTCAGTAGAGAAGGGGTTTCACCATGTTGGCCAGGTTGGTCTTGAACTCCTGACTTCAAGTGATCCGCCCATCTCGGCCTTCCAAAGTGCTGTGATGACAGGTATAAGCCACCACACCCAGACTTGCTTAAAACTGTTAAATGACAGGTGGGCACAGTGGCTCACGCCTGTCATCCCAGCACTTTGGGGATCCGCGGCAGGTAGATCACCTGAGGTCAGGAGTTCGAGACCAGCCTAGCCAATACAGTGAAACCGTCTCTACTAAAAATACAAAAACTAGCTGTGCGCGGTGGCGGGCGCCTGTAATCCCAGCTACTCGGGAGGCTGAGGCAGTTCTCCTAGGCAGAGGTTGCAGTGAGCCGAGATCGCGCCAGTGCACTCCAGCCTGGGCAAGAAGAGCGAAAACTCCGTCTACACACACACACACAAAACTCAGAGGGTTATAATGGAGTAAGGTGAAAAACCTTACAGGATGCGAACTTTTTGAAAGCAGAAATTTTACCGGCAGCCCCTGTACTTCGCCCAGTGCCTGGAATTCAGTAGGTGTTCAATAAATGTGTTACAGGTATTAACTACGTAAGGCAGAAACTCAGGTCTCTGTCACCTATTGAAAACCGTGTCACTCAGCTTGTCTGTCGCCATCATTCCAGTATCCGCAGGGAGCATCAAAGCTCTCTCTTAGGCCCTGAGTTTAGCGAGGGGATTGGTCTTACCCGTCGGTCTGGGCGAGGCCACGGAATATGCCCTCCCCGCCCGGGCAGTGTCTCTGACCCTGGAATATGCCATCCTCGGTGCTGAAGTGCTTCACCGTCCTGTCCGCGCAGCCCACCAGGATCTGCGGCAAAGAAGGGCAAGATGGCAAGGAGAGCAAGGCTGCTGTGCCCCAGGCCCCCAGCTCCGGCACGGCCAGCGGCCACTCACCTGGGTCTCGCCGCCCGTGCCCCAACACAGGGCGCTCACTGCCTCCTCGCGCCGCGGCTGTCCTCCGGCCGTGAAGTTCGCCGCCTGTTTTCGCTGAAGGTTTACCCCTGAGAGAGGAGGGCGTCAGTCACACCAGGGGCGCGAGTGCACCCCTACACTTCCCGACGCCCGAGCCTGCCACCCACCTTTCAAGATCCCAGTCTCGGTGCCGACCCACACATGGTTCCAGCGCGCGGCAGCAGCAGCCATGACAAAGCCTGGAGGTAGATGGTTCGCACTTCCGGCGCAGAGTGCGCGTCACTGGCGGGCGTCGAGTCCAAGGCAGGGCAGTGCAGTTGCTAGGAGTTTTTTCGTTGTTTGTTTGTTTGTTTGTTTTTTGAGACGGAGTCTCGCTCTGTTGCCCAGGCTGGAGTGCAGCGGCGCGATCTCGGCTCACTGCAAGCTCCGCCTCCCGGGTTCACGCCATTCTCCTGCCTCAGCCTCCCGAGTAGCTTGGAGTACAGGCGCCCGCCACCACGCCTGGCTAATTTTTTGTATTTTTAGTAGAGACGGGGTTTCACTGTATTAGGCAGGATGGTCTCGATCTCCTGACCTCGTGATCCGCCCGCCTCGGCCTCCCAAAGTGCTGGGATTACAGGCGCGCCCGGCCCAGTTTCTGGTAGTTCAAAGAGCCGAAAGAGTAAAGCTTCCTTGCTTGTTTTGCTTTACGAAAATGAAACCAGGAGGTGCTTGTATAGGGAGATCGGAAGAGTACATTGATCATTTTGCACTTGGAGTGAAACGCACCTTTCCTGGACTGCGTGGCCGGGTCAAGCTGGCCCTAGTCTCTCTCCGGGCTCCATTATGTAATACGTGTTCTGGACTGTTAGACAAGAAACAACAAACGATTTAAGAAACACTTTAGAAACGATTCAGATCATTAACGATGTGTGGGCTTCATTCTGGAATATAAGTCACAAAAGAAAGAAAGATGGGAAAAGGAAGCCGAAGGTTTTTTTGGTTTTTTTTTTTCAGACAGAGACAGCTTTGCTCTGTCGCCCAGGCTGGAATGCAATGGCGCGATCTCCTCTCACCTAAACCTCCGCCTCCCTGGTTCAAGCGATTCTCCTGCCTCAGCCTCCCAAGTAGCTGGGATTACAGCTGGAATTACTAAACCACTGCGCCCGGCCTCGTTTACTCTTTAAGGGGCGGATAGCCGGGCGCGGTGGCTCATGCCTGTAATCCCAGTACTTTGGTAGGCTGAGGTGGGCGGATCACGAGGTCAGGAGATCGAGAGCACCCTGGCTAACATGGTGAAACCCTATGTCTACTAAAAATACAAAAAATTAGCCGGGCGTGGTGGCGAACGCCTGTAGTCCCAGCTACTCGGGAGGCTGAGGCAGGAGAATGGCGTGAACCCAGGAGGCGGAGTTTGCAGTGAGCCGAAGTTGCGCCCACTGCACTCCAGCCTGGGCGACAGAGCAAGACTCCGTCTCAAAAAAAAAAAAAAAAAAGAAAAGAAAAAGGGATTCGAGTGGAGTCACAGTGCATTGCAACCTGGAATTCCTTAGTTACAGAGATTCTTCCGCCTTAGTTTCTAGTTAAAACCATGGGGAAAAAAGCGTTAAACACATGATAAAAATAACTAAGGCCGGGCGCGGTGGCTCATGCCTGTATGTAATCTTTGGGAGGCCGAGGCGGGCGGATCTCATCTTTTAGTAGAGATGGTGAAGCCCCATCTCTACTAAAAATATAAAAATTTAGCCGGGCGCGGTGGCACGCACCTTCATTCATAGAACCAACCCACCCTGAAGATAAAGACAGATAAACCGCTTAAACTCAGACGGTAGCCATGCAGAGCCAGAATGAAACTCTGCCTAATAGAACAAAAACACACACACCCAAATTTCACCGCGCAAGCAAGCTAAGCTGGCAGCAGTATCAACCAAATTCCGGTTGATTAACTTTTCCCTTTTCCACCGTAATTTCTCTTTTTAGACATGTAATTGTTTCCCCCAAAGGGGGGTGCACCGTTCCTGGAAGTACTGCAATACCAGGTCGATGCGTGGAGTGGACGGAGCAAGCTCCTTTTCCATCTCCTAATTCCAAAAATCCATTTAATATATTGTCCTCGGATAGAGGACGTATCAGATATTAAACTGATAAGAACAGATACTACACTTGATCTTAGCCAAAAGGCCGAGAAGCGATACTTTTACTCAGGCTGCCTTGGCGGCCTTATCCTTCCTATCTTCTACACACTTATGGTAACTATCTAGGCATTAAATGTTAAATTATTTTCTAATACGTTATAATTCCGAAACGCAGTTTTCATTATTCTTTCTTAATAGTAGTGGCTATAGTTTGGAAACATACCTATTTAAGAGTCCTGTACTGCTTCTCCCGCCTGCTCTCTGCTCAGTGTGTTTTGCATAAACCCGCCCCTTCGCTTTTTTAGGATCCTGGGATTGGCCCACATACCAATCGTGATTTCAGTACCCGCGTAGCCTCTTTTTCCCAGATTGTGGCGTTAGTCTCCCAACCTAGAGGTTTTTGGGCTCTCCAGGGGGCGGCGTGACAGTGCTGCAGGTGGGGGCGCCCCTCTCTGGGACCTTTCTTGGGAGAAGCCGCGGCGCGGTTTCAAAGCACAGGTTTTGGAGTCCAAAAAAAGAGGTTGGGCTCCCCGCTCTCCAATTCCTGACTTAATGGCCTGAGGCTTGGTACTTAGGCCCTTGTCTCCTCCCCAGTTAAACGGGGAAATGGTGATACGCACTCTCAGGAGTTTGTGAGAACTGAGGACACAGTGGCGAGGCACGACCTGCACTTTGCATTTGTACTGTCCACCAGCAACCGCCCGGCCCTTCACTGAGAGGGAAAGATGCCCTGAGAAAGCCATTTCGGAGGCTCCTGATCCTCAAACCCGGGATCCCGCGGTGGGAGAAGGGTACTGACGCCTCAGCTCCGATGTCCTCCGACCCACGCACTCCTTAGAGTTACTTTCAGACCGGCCAGCAACGCGGTAAGGCAGCTCACTCGGAAGTCCGACCAAGAAACCACAGGGCCTCTCCTCGAAGGCAGAGGCAGGGTCGTTAGAGGACTGGGGTGAAGGAGGAGGAGGAGAGTATAGGTAAAATTGAAATGGAGCGATTTTTTTTTAATCGATCAAAGCAAACCCGCCAGAATGAAAGAGATTAATATGAGGCCCTCGCTGAGAAGGGACTTAAGGTCTTGCTTTCTTGGGAGCTCTATTAATATAAACGTAGATCGTTCTGTTGGAAACCCTTTAACCCGGGTTGGAAATAGAGGCAGTGTCTTTGTATCAAAGCGTTTTGCATGGCTGAGATCCTCCAGGCAGGAGTCAGGCGTTACATTCTCTGATAAAATGTCAACCAGGGAAGAATAAAGATCTCTGTGACATGAATAAGTTTAAGGAAAAGTGCGGTGCCTTGATATGCATATGTAAACATCTCCATAAACCCTTTTAGTGCATAAAGAGCAGCATTGCGCTAGCAAGTTCCACCTTTCGCCCTAAGGCAGTTTTCTCCCATCTTAGTAAACAGAACATACAATCGGGTTTTACACGGAGATGTTCCATTGCCCAGGGACGGGCAGGAGACAGATGCTTTTCTCTATCTCAACTGCCAAGAGGCCTTCTTTCCTCTTATACTAGTCCTCCTCAGCACAGACCCTTCACGGGTGTCAGGCTGGGGGACGATCAGGTCTTTCCCTTCCCACAAGGCCATATTTCAGACTATCACATGGGGAGAAACCTTGGACAATACCACTACTTTCCTAGGCAGAGGTCCCTGCGACCTTTGGCAGTGTACGTGTCCCTGGGTACTTGAGATTAAGAGAATGGTGATGACTTTTCACAAGCATACTGCCTTCAGGCACTTGTTTAACAAAGCACACCCTGCACTGCCCAAAATCCGTTAAACCTTGAGTCACCACAACAAGGTTGGGGGTAGGGTCACAGATTAACAGCATCTCAGATACAGAACAAAATGGAGTCTGTTATGTCTACTTCTTTCTATATAGACACAGTAGCAGGCTGATCCATCTTTCTTTTCCCCACATGAATCATTAGTCCTTTTTATGTCATCTGCTGTTTCCTCAACCTGGACCTTTCTGCCCACGTCTCCCTATCGTCTCTTACAGGTGACAGCTCAAGTGGCACCCCTTCAGGGATGCCTTCCCTGATCACTTTTTTTTTTTTTTTTTTTTGAGACAGAATCTCACTCTGTTGCCCAGGCTGGAGTGCAGTGGCACAATCTCGGCTCACTGTAACCTCTGCCTCCCGGGTTTACGCCATTCTCCTGCCTCAGCCTCCCGAGTAGCTGGGACTACAGGTGCCCGCCACTGTGCCCAGCTAAGTTTTTGTATTTTTTAGTAGAGACGGGATTTCACCGTGTTAGCCAGGATGGTCTGGATTTCCTGACCTCGTGATCCACCCGCCTCGGCCTCCAGAAGTGTTGGGATTACAGGCGTGGGCCACCCCACCGGGCCAATTTTTGTATTTTTTTCTGAAACAGAGTCTTGCTCTGTTGCCAGGCTGGAGTGCAGTGGTGCGATCTCGGCTTACTGCAACCTCCGTCTCCTGGGTTCAAGCGATTCTCCTGCCTCAGCCTCCCTAGTAGCTGGGACTACAGGTGTGTGCCACCATGCCCAGCTAATTTTTGTATTTTTAGTAGACATGGGGTTTCACCATGTTGGCCAGGCTGGTCTCAAACTCCTGACCTCAGGTGATCCGCCTACCTCGGCCCCCCAAAGTTCTGGGGTTACAGGCATGAGCCACTACACCCAGCCTTTGACCACCATCTTTCTTGCTGCATCACACTTTCTTCTTTGCCGGTAAATATTATAAATCTCAGGGTGTCTGAAATTCAGCATTATTGAGTTTTTGGACTGGACAGTTCATTGTTTGGGGGTGATGGGGGAGAGGGGCTGTCCTGTGCAGTGTAGGATTTAGCAGCATCCTTGCCCAGTACCCAATAGTTGTCAGTAGTATATACCTCCCCTCTCCAAGTTGTGACAGCCAAAAATGTCTGCAGGTGTTGCTAAATGTCCCCTAGTGGGCAAAAAACACCCTTGGTCAAGAACTACTGCACGATTTCAATAATATTCAGTTGTTTGTTTGACTGTCTCATGTTGTCTCTCCTGCTTCCTCTAGGATGTAACCAAACAGGTGTCAACAAAAAACACAAGGCCTTGGTTTTCCTGGTGAGCCCATTGCTGCATTTGAGATAGAGGAGCTTGTTGGTGCTGGTGCCATTTACTAGGGTGGGGAGATGGAGTTGAGGGGAGGAGCAGGGGGAAGGCAGGGAATCAAGGAGCTGAATGTCTCATTGTACATTAAGTGGGAGGTTTGTTTGATGTATCTGGAGCTTAGGGAAGAGGTTCTCACTAGAAACATTGTAGTCTGAGTCATTAATGTACAGAAGAAATGTGAGGAGCCAGGCTTCAATCATTCCAGCCATCTCCTCCATTTCTCCATTTTGTCCTACTCTCATTTCTGTTTTTGCTTTTGAGACGGAGTTTCTCTCTTGTTGCCCAGGCTGGAGTACAGTGGTGTGATCTCAGCTTATCGCAACCTCTGCCTCCTGGGTTCAAGCGATTCTCCTGCCTCAGCCTCAGCTGGGATTACAGGCGTGTGCCACCACGCCCGGCTAATTTTGTATTTTTAGTAGAGACAGGGTTTCTCCATGTTGGTCAGGCTGGTCTTGAACTCCTGGCCTCAGGTGATCCGCCTGTCTCAGCCTCCCAAAGTGCTGGGATTACAGGCGCGAGGCACTGCGCACAGCCTTTTTTTTTTTTTTTTTTTTTTTTTGAGATACAGTCTTGCTGTGTCGCCTTGGCTGGAGTGCAGTGGCGTGATCTCAGCTCATTGCAACCTCCACTGCCTCCCAGGTTCAAGAGATTCTCCTGCTTCAGCCTTCTGAGTAGCTGAGACTACAGGCGCACGCTGCCACACCCAGCTAATTTTAGTAGAGATGGGGTTTCACCATGTTGGCCAGACTGGTCTTGAACTTGTGACCTCAGGTAATCCGCCCACCTTGGCCTCCCAAAGTGCTGGGATTACAGGTGTGAACCACTGCGCCTGGCCAGTCCCCACCTGACTTCTTTGTGGCTTTAACAAAAGATTCAACTGTGGGCAGTGGGGAGACTTCCCTCAGTTCGCAAGTCAGTACCGCGCAGGTTCCCACTGCTTGTGTTGCTTTTCTGTTTCTGCTCTGCTGATCCTCCATCTCTAAATTCTGGTGCTCCCCTAGGGTCCTTGGGTGGTCTTCTCAGAACTGACCCTTCCATTCTTGTGGTTGTAATAATTGTGATAACAACTCTCAAGTCTATGTGGCTACCATTTAATGAGCAAAAAATATGTGTTGTTTCAGCTGAGTTGCCGTTCTTATAAT